CCTCCGTTAGACAGCGACATCCACCGAGCCAACTGGTGCACTACCTGTGACAGTCTGAATTTGAACTGCGTGCATCTTTTTGTCATCTCCTATTCAGGTGCCGAGCATAACAAGATTATCGTGCTGTGCTTCTTAGCACACAGAGAAAGTTATTTGTGTTTTGTGTTTGCATCTGGAACTGAACCCTCAAAATGTTTCTTCTGCTTCTAGTGACTCTTCACATTGACAGCTGCAATGTTTGTGTGTCTGTGTGTGTGTGTGCGTGCGTGCACACACGCTTGTAGGCATAATTGTTCGTCGTCCTCCGTTAGACAGCGACATCCACCGAGCCAACTGGTGCACTGCCTGTGACAGTCTGAATTTGAACTGCGTGCATCTTTTTGTCATCTCCTATTCAGGTGCCGAGCATAACAAGATTATCGTGCTGTGCTTCTTAGCACACAGAGAAAAATTATACAATGCAGTTCAAATAGCTAAAAGCGTGCATGCAAAGTACAGAGTAGTAGTGAGGCACATTTTTGCCTGCTATTCTTGCTGTGTGTCGTGTGGTGTACTTGCCAGTCAGTTCGTTGGTGGTGTGTGCATTGCTAATAGTCACTATGCTTGTTTTAACACCCACATGCTTGAGTGAGGGAGTGTGAGTGTAAACCTGGGAGGCTCGCCAAAGGCGCACTATCTCGGGAAACTTTGTACTGATATTGAAATTGATATTTATTGCATGCCCAAAAACACCATAATGGTTTTGACATTGGTGCACGGAAGTCAGATTCCTAAGAATTTCCAACACGCAGACATATGGAACCACAGTAGTCATAATAAAAACATTAATCATAAGAAGAAAGTTGCAACAAAAGATATTATAGACACATCAGGTACTTAGGGTAAAATAAGGCATGGAAAAAAAATGGTGCTGGACAAGGATGTTGCATGATGTTTGAATACAATAATTTGGCGATTCCTCTATTCGCCTGTCAGGATAAAACTTGTTGCAATGTTGTGTGAGTTTAGCTGGCTCACATAACTTTATGCTGCTGAAAAGATCAGGTATGTCAATTACACCCTGAATAAGCTTTTGTAGAAACACCGCATCTCAGCAATGCCTTCTGTCACCCAAAGCGCTGAGGTTCAAAGTCTTAACCAGAGAATGGTGTTAGAAATAAAGTCTCCTATGAAAATGTTGATCATAGATTATGCGAACCAAACAGCTTTGCACCCCTTCAATACGCCTACATTCAGTTTCCGATAAATGGTTCCACACGAGAGAAGCAAATTCGAGCCGGGTCTAAACCAGAGCACAAAATAAACATAATAGGGCATCGGGTCCATATCACATGAGCGAATGACATTTTAGCGAACAGCGACATTGAAGCGAATCGACGCTTTAGCGAATAATAAGGGCACGCGTTAACCCATCCGCCACGCTGTGCTTACGCCGCTTCGCGGCGACAGTCTGCGGCGGCTCATTACAAAAATGTGAACCCATTTGGCCCACCCGAAAACGCCGCTCCGCGGCGTCCGACTATTCGCTAAAGTGTCATTGTGTGAAACGTGGGCGTTCGCTAAAACGTCATTCGATCGAGTGCCTCCCATATGGCATCAGGTGCTTCAAAGTGCCAAGTCAAACAGGAGATCATACCAAGTTTTTTAAAACCGGTACCACAAGTAATAACATGAGATTTGAATGTGAGTTTGCAATCGACTAACACACCAAGGTCCCTGATCACATCAGCTCGAGTAATAATACAGTTTCCCAATGTGTACTTAAATGTAAGAGATCCCTACGCCTCATTAGCGAGATGACTTTTGTTTTGTTGGTATTCAAAGGAAAACGATTGGATGAACACCATTGTGAACTACTCAAGACATCGGACTCTAGCGCATCACAGTCTTTTTCGGAACAAATACTCGAGAATAACTTAATGTCATCGGCAAATAAGAGCACTTTATCAAACTTTACAGAATTTAAAATGTCATTTATAAATACCTGGAACAACGATGGCCCTAATACTGACCCCCGGGGGACACCTGAAGTTGGATAAAACAGTATCAACGCAAGCAAAGTTTTTTTTTGGTGTCAGGTAACTAGAAGCCGACTCGCAAAGCTTAGGGGCGATATTATATTGTTTCAATTTATATTCAAGTAAAGAATGATCAACCTTATTGAAAACCTTTGAAAGATCAAAATAAATTGAGTCAACCTGACCTCGTTTTAAAACGACCGGGGCTGCGTACTGTGGAAAAGTACAAAGGTTAGTTTTGACTGAATGTCCTCTAATAAAGCCATGTTGTTGCTGCGTCAGATACCCTGATAAATGAGAGAAACGACTCTTGCATAATGGTTTCAAATACCTTAGCAAAACCACACAGCAGTGACACGGAAGGGTAACTTGATGCAATACAAGCATCGCCACCTTTATGAATGGGCACGACTATCGCTTACTTCCATATTGCGGGAAATACACTGGTATGCAGAGACATGTTAAAAACATGAGCTAATAGGGGCGCCAGAAGCCCACAACATCTTTTAATGGAATTTCATCCGTGCCGACAGACAATTTTGGCTTGAGCTTTTTTATCGCCGTGACGACGTCCGGTGTAGTAGCGCTGAACAGGGAGAGCGAGTCCCCATTTCTGGAATCGTTCACTCGATCTGTCCTCACTGAATGTATGGCTTGTAAGTAGCAGCTGTTAAGAAACGAGGCAAACTCATCAGCGATGTCTTTTGGCAACGTAAAATAATAAATATCCTCATTACTAGAAGAGTGAAGAGATGAATGTTTTGAAAATGAATGTGGTTTACTATTTAAGAATTTCCAGAAGATTTAAGATCACAATATAGACTATTTTCAACACTTCTTTCGTGAACATATTTATCACGTGCAAGCAATATTTTAGCGAAGGAACGAAAGCTGGAAAATTTTTGCTACCACTCTTGCTTACACATTCTCTTGAATAAACCATGAAAAGGAGCCTTTTTTCGCAAAGCTGTCCTCAATTCCCTAGGTTTAACAAGCCTTTTAGGCACATATTTGTCGATAGCTTCTTTCATTACCGACGTCAACTTTCTTGCTGCAAAATCTGTGTCATTCGAATCGTATAGCTCAGCCCACGCATACGATTCAAGTAATCTCCCTTTTCATGAGTAAATGAATTTCGGAAGCTCTCGCGATAAACATGGCAAGTAAAATTCGGCTCTAAAGGGCAGATGATGAGCATCGACTTTCACCAGTTACAGTTGAAAGGGCTGGATGCACTTGCACAGATTGCCAGCATACTGAGATTGAAGCTCAATTAGGTGTATGCCAAAGGTGGAGCTATAAATTCATGCTAGTTGTGCACACCAGCAGCCATTCCCGTTTGCGGTCTTGAGATCAAAACAACAGAAATTTATGTACCTAATTATTTAGCCAACCACAAATTTTCACTTTAGGTATGTTCCCCTGTAAATTATGGTTGCGGACAGCACTGAAAAAGAAGCTCGAATTGTTATGCTCTGGCTCCCTTAAGTGCGCGGCAACTTCGAATGAGCGTGCATTGGGAAATTTAAGTGTCATCATGTTGCTTCAATGGCATACTCTTTCTTTTTTTTTTATTATTTTATTTAAAAGGCTAGCCTTGTGGATAGTGTTCGAACCAACATTCAGAAACTGGTCAGTGCGGAACACATGGTGCTTTGCATTCATGAATGCCGCTTGCCATAATGACCGGCCAATGTTTTTACCTTATTTCCGCCGAGCACGTGTGACGTTTGGGAGGAAATATAAACACTTCTCTGCTCAAATTCCCCTCAGCATTTTCTTGTTTTTGAACTGACCACAGCACATCTATCCACATGCAACAACTGCCACGTGTTGCAGCTTTGACCACAGTGATGGCGGTCTAAGGCGATTTCTCTTTATGGGACGCATGAAGGGAAATTGCTGGATCGCCATCAAGCTGGGTGAATTCTTGCTTGGGCGCAGCTTCATTTACATCAACACAGTATAATGTAATCAAAAGAAAATTTGAATTTTCTCTCTGTAATAAACGAACAGAAACGACAAAGAAGTAAAGAATGTATGCACTAAACAGCAGAAGTGGTAAATTCTCTTGAAACCTTTCTACTAAATTGACATTGACAAACCTGCTCACAAATGCTTTCACTCCTGACAAGTTCTAATGTGGAAAGAGCATTCATAAACATCAACAGTAAGTTCAGTGCTTACCAAACTAGGACGAAACACACAAACTGTCTTTCCTCATGGGATCACTATCCTGGTGGTGGCAGAGCAAAACGATTTCGTGACTTAGTGCTTTCCAAATCATCCCAAAGTGCTATGTCAAGGAGCTGTTCAGCTTCCTCCAGGATAGTGCTGCCATGAAAAAACACACAGTTTATGTGTTTCATAAGTTGCATGCGGGACGACCGAGAAATCATTGTTCTACCTTTTAAGTGCTGAAAATGAGCCTGCCTGTCCAGCAATGTCTACTCTCTGAGAAAAAGGTTTTATCTTTTCGTACTTCATTTCACATGGGTATGTTGCACCCAGATGCCGCTGGTCTGTTGTCATTTCACCGCATTTACTTGAAAATTGTCTACCTTTTCATTAAGGTAGACCAATTATGCAGAGCATGGAGATGGAAGGAGCGCTCAACAAATAGCAGCGAATGTAGCCTGATTCCCAAGAGGGAACCAGGCTACATTCGCTGATAATATTTTACCGCAGATAATATATATTACCGCAGATAATATTTTGTCAACCCCTTTGATCAGAACGATTGGCTGTCTACATGGTCTGTAGGAAAGAGAATGGGTAGGTTTATCTTTCAGAAAAAAGTTGCCCATTTACGAGGAAATTTGGCACTTCGGGCTGGCGGTACATTCTGTTACAAGCACATTAATGACCGCATGTTCAGTACAGCAGCTGTAATGTACTTGCAGTAGGCTTTACTCAAATTACTCTTGAAATATCAATACTCTCCAGTAATTTTTCTGTCACTTGTTCTTTGTGTGAATGCAGGTTCATCAGGGCAGAGCATTACCGGTATCAGTATGCTCGCTTTGGAAGTCCCGAGGCAAGAGCAGGCCAGTGGTGGATACGAGAGCGACTGGGCAGTTATATGCCTCCTGTCTCAAGGTCTGACCTGTTGCCTATTCTGCAGAAGTTTGGCTGGTCCAGCATTTGAAGATTGCACCACGAGCTGCTGACACTACCGCTCCCCTACCTTCAACGTGCCAAACTCAGTGCTGATTGCTTCTTCTAGGATGTGTGTGCATCAATACTCAATGTGTTTTTTTATTTTCTGAATTATAACAGTAAACATTGCGTTTTTCTTTCGAAAGTTGCATAGCGTGGCTGCATTGTCTCATCAAAACACTTCAGTCTGAATTTTAATATATGTTTCACTTAAATAAAAAAAAACAAAAAAACTAAAGCCGAGAATAGGTGAGGATGGTAAAAAATTACTATATATTTTTTACCATATAACAATGGAATTCAAGGCACTACCCTAAAATACCGGGGGAGCGCCCACCCAACTTTCACTGAAAACTGTGTTAATCTAGATATGGGTGTTTGTCTGTTGAAATTGAGCGCTTAAAGGCCGACATACACTTCGCGCTTTCCACTTTTGCCCACCTCCTCCTTTTCTATATCCTCTAGACTTTTTACCTTACCCCAACTTGGCTCCCCTTGCAGCTTAAGAGAAGGGAGCGTTAAAGGGATGGGGGGCTGAACCAAAATTTTGAACTCTCAAAACAAGGCTACAGCAATAGGTGGGAAGCTGCAGAACCAAAAATCATCACTTGTACTGTAGTATCTCTAACGGATGGCCGTATTTTTGGAAAAAAAAGTGCACAATTGAACAAGGCCGGCGAGACACCTCACGTCACGATTCTCATTCCTTCTCCTCTTCGCTTTGTCCCGTCGAGCTGGTGAACCGAAGCGAGGAGAGAAGCGAGGCCGGCTTCCCCTTATTCTTAAGTGTTCCAGGAGGATTGCTCGCTTGATCGCACCCTTCTTTTCCAAAAACACTGCCATCCGTTTGAGATGTCGATGTACGAGTGATGTTTTGGAGTTCGTAGCGTCCCGTTCAACGCTTCTGCGGCCTTATTTTGCGAAATCCAAATGTCGGTTCAGCATCCTTTTAAGAGGATATCATCTTCCCTGCAGAAAACCGAGGTTGTACATTGGCCTCTAACATATAATTTGCAGAATTCTCAAGTTAGGAAAATGTTACTAGTGGGTGCTTGAAAGTAAGTGGGTGCTCTGTGGTATTTTACGGTAGTGTTATTTGATTGCCTCTTGTCAGAGTATTGCAGAACCTAGAAGAAACTCGTGAGGCAAAAGATTGGTAGATAGTATTTTATTTGTAGGCTTGCCTTTTATAAGGTGTGCCTGTTGTAAACATAAAAAAAAAGGATGGTATGTGAATATGTACATAAATGACAAAAAAATTTTGTTTTTTATAAATGCAAAAGGTGTTGCTAAATATGTGGGACACATGTAAAGCATGGCAGACATTTGCTGGCCGTTATATATTAGCGTGACAGTAAAACTATGGGGCTGGAGGTTTTAAATACATGTTCTGCAGCAGAACAATAGGTCCTCGACACTGCTTGATTATTTCAAGGCCCTTGAACATCATGTTTTGTTTGGATTGTACACTCCCCAGGATATCAGGATAGCCTTGGTCCCTGCTGCAGGAACAAAGTACCATGCAGATGACATGTTTCTGCCTTCTTGATTGAGCACAGTCACATTGAAGAAGAGTTGTGGTCTTATATGTTTTGACATTGCAGAGCCTAGAAGCTTGGGTGTCACCTTTTCAAGTTCATGAGTTCTCTTGTTGCTGGTGTTTATTGTATGTATGCTGTTTGCTGGCAAACCTTCAAATTGTGCCTTGTTCTTGATTTTGTGACTTTGAGGTACTTCATCATTAGGGCCAGTTGCAGTTGATGTGTCAGGCCTCCAGTATTCAGTTTTTGCCTCATCGCCAGATAGGTGCAGAAGTGGGTCTCCGACGTCTTTGAGGGGAACGTGTGAAAGCATGGCATGGCTTGGATCATTGCTTCCATTCTTCAGCCTTGGACTGTCTTGAAATTCGAGGTTTATAGGTCCTTTTATGCTATTGCTCTCCAGGGGTACTTCTGCCTTGGTTTCTTGTTTCTGGCCAGCCCTGCCTGTGTCTGACAAAAGCTGTTCTGTGCTTGAAGTCCTTGAATTGTTGTCGTTGTGCATCTCGTGCCTTGTGGCATCTGAAGGATTAAAAGAAATGTCGGTGACACTTGTTTCCTCTAGCTCTGTGGAAAGAACTTTTTTGTTGAAATCTGTTCTAAAATGTGGTTCGTCCAAACTGTTCGACTCGTCATCACCTTTCTCATTGACCTCCACTACACTCTTCAACTTGGTGGTAATGTAAGTTACTAAGTGGGAGGCATTTGTAACCTTGGTCTTGGTGTTCTCTGAAACATCAACTGCATGCCTTAGGTTGTCAATGATCTGATCTTGTGTCTCGACAGGCAGCTGCTTGTTGCCAAGATGGCTTTTCTCAATCACCTTTTTAACCTCGGCACCCAGAAAATAAGCAGCAGGGAGGTGGTGGTTAAGTGCCGAATACATACCCTTTTTATATTTGTCTTTGTTAAATTTTGACTCTTTCTGCAGTGCCCGCATTCTAAACTGAACAACTTCATAGTCATCATCTTTGTTTGAAACGCGAAATAATTTTGATACTATGCTTTCATCTCTGGGTTCACTCTTTTCTGTCGCACTCCGATTTTTCATTTTATAGCCAACAGAAGACTCGTCATAGTCATTGTTTTGCCTTGCTGTTTCTGTCATACTTTCTGCATTCTTTCTCTCACTTTTAACATTGTCTGTTGGCAGGAGTATCTCGTTGCATATTCCTATTGGTTGCATTTGAAAAGTAGATGAAAACCTCCTCTGTATGATGAAAGGACTCTGCCCGTTACCTTTGATTGCATTACGTTTGTTAGATGAAGTTGCTGCGGTAGGCTGCCACGGATTGGAGTATGTTGGAGGCTGTTTTTTTATATTTACACCATATCCTTCAACTTTGTCACTTGTTTGGGCATTAGAATGAGGATCATCGTCGTTCATAACCGATAGCTGTGTCTCTGGATACTGTGCATTTTCCAAACGGGTACAGTTGCTGACAACCCTTGTGTTCGGAACCATTTTCCTTTGTGCAACTACATTTTCTAGTGCCTTTTCAAATAATGCAGTCTTGTTCTCCTCTTTAGGTTCGATGAAACACAAGAGAAAGTCTGAACTAGCACAAAGAACACCCACTTCAGAGGCATTTTTTTTTGGAGTTGCCTGAAATTTGCCTCGATTCTCATTTCTTAAAGGCTCTGACATACTGGGGTCTTCTTGCCACGAATGGTCTATAGGCGACTTGGCACTCTGCCTGGCTGCAATGTACAGACTGTTTGCTTTGACTTCTGTGTGGCTTCGAAGAGTCTTCTCCGGGATACAGTAAGAGAGTGCTGGGTCGTCGGGCACATAGTACCCAGGTTTGCAGACACATTCAAACTTGTTGCTTTTGGCAAGGTTATCCTTGCATAAATGTGGAGCACATATACTTTCCGATGTACACATTCCCTTGTAGATGGAGCATGTGAGGCCTGCAAAGTTTTGATCACATTGGCAGTGTGGCTTGCCATCGGTATCGTGAATGCACTGGCCCATGATGCAGAAAAGGCTAATACCGATTGGATGAACAGTGACGCAGGGAGGCCTGCCTTCTCTGAGAGCTTGCCATGCGACATACTCGACAGCTTCTCGAGGCGTCCTGTAATGACTAATCTCTGGCTTGAATCCTGCCGATGAAGAGTACCACAGAGGCAGCAGCAGAAGAATTCTTGCATTTATGTGCAGGACCTTCCTTTGCAGACAGGCTTTATTCATCCTGTTGCTGCATCTGAATCTCCTGTTGGTGCACAGAAGTCTGAAAGAAAATATATTTCAGTTCTTCACCGACCAATATATGATGTCCAGGCAAGGTATTTTGATTTTGGTAGGGGCAACCACGACTTTTAACAGGTATTAACATCTGGGTACTTTCAATAATAAACTTTAAATATTATAAATGCATGCGTGGGCAATATAAATTAGATGTAGTGTAATGCATCTGAGTGATTGGTGTGTATTTAATTCTAAGGCTGTCTTTTAAATGTTGCCTTGATTGTGTTTTACTTTATTTGTTATTTAGCGTAGAATCCACGCTTTTTTTTTTAACGTATCTAGTCAGTATAAACGGCTCTGTATCTAGTTAGCTTCTAGTGCCACCGTATGGTTTCTATTAGTGCACAGCCTTAATATGACTGGGCTGATTATGCTTCAGTACATGAATAAAACTAGGTTGTTTCACTTGCTAGACGTTATATTATCCTTTTCTGTTAACTATACAAAATTGGTCGGATTGAATATATTTGGCGATATCGCCTTGCCAAGTTGTTGGGAACTGGAAATAGAAGGCAGAGTATTTTCGCTCTGCGTTGAATATTATATTTTAATGCTTGTGTTCTATCCTGCATTAATATTCAAAATAAACTTACATCAAGACAGCGTCAAATCGGCTATTCCTGTCCACGTGAGCCCTGCATTGTGCTGGTCGTCATTGCGCCTCTGTATTTTCTTCTTCTCAATCGGGCGTAAAATGAAGCTCTTCAATTACACAAATGAGACAAAAGATGATGAAGACACTTGAACCTTTCAAAAATTCCTTCGCTCACCGACTTACCCATATAAACATCTAAATGGTTTTTAATATATTTTTAATTGTCACGTTTGATAATTCTGATGTTTGAATGGCTGAAAAAGGTTACACACGCCTTCATGTGCCCTACTCACTGTGGCCCAACCGTTTCAGAACCGAAACCGAAACAGCATCAATGATAATATTATTGTCGATCGAGTTTTCTCAGAGAGATGACAAGTTTAGAGTAAAGTGAAAACGCCTCCCACCTCTTTTTACTTTAGCAGAGCAAACCCTGAAGAGGAGGCGACCTCCTCTCCAACGTTTGCTCTGCTAAAGTGAAAAGGGTGGGAGGAGCTTCCACATTTAACATGTCACCGACTGTAGTACTAATAAAACACTAATACGGGCTGTTTGAGCTGGTGATTGCTAGTGGATTATTAGATCATTGAATCCTGTAGTAATCGTAGTGAATACCGAGTCTGACAGGGGCAGTCGCCGAACAAACATAGTGTTATATTGGTTCAATCTTGTAAAAGATGTAGAAGGTACTAACCTTTTCCGTAAAAGTAAATTTCATGACGTTTACCAACTTTTTGGCTTTAATTACGCTACGATTACGTTTTCGACATTTCGTAATTTTCGCGATTTCCACATATTTATGATGCAATGGCTACGGATTGTTTTATTGTTCGGTCAAACTTCGCTTACTTCCGGTCATTTTTGCTGTCTATGAGGACGCCTATTCGGAGTTCTTGGACGCGATCAGACTAGTTCGCGCGAGACGCGACGCGAGGCGCGCGAACGCTACGCGCATCAGCAGCCACTTTCACCTCTTTTCCGTACGCCGACCGATTCTGGTCGTAGTTCTTTTGCCCCCTCCTGTGTTCTGCTTCGCTGCCCCCATGACTAAAGGTGAGAAAGCTCACGTCAGCCCAGTCTCATTGCCTTACTTGCCAACCGTTGATCACCCCCCTCCCCCCCCCCTCTTCCCCCTAAAAGAGAAAAAAAATAAGGGTGCATTTGTTTTTACAATTGACTAATCATCAGGACCCCTGTATCGCATTCTAAAACGTTTTTGGAACCTTCATAGGTCGAATCCGAACGCAGTGCATCAGCTGGCTTTCGCGTTCGTTTTTTTTGGAATGGTCGGTATCAGACGTCAGTGATACTTGTGTGATACTCGATTGCGAGAAACTTGGGGCGGGGAGGAGAACACGCAGATACTGTGCAGCTTGTGATCGTTTACGCCACCTTCTTTATTTTTTGTGCATTGGCGCGAATGCCACAACTTGCAGGCACGTTCTAAGGTGGTGCCGTGAAAGGAATAACGACGCTACCGCAAGTTACGAAGCAAGAACAGTAGGAATGTGAAAGCCCGACTACTGTCGTCGAAGATGCGCTAATCTGAAAAAGGGAAGAAAAAAAAAAAAAGACAATTTTGGGCGTTGCAGTTTCTTAGAACCCCCTCCTCCTCCTCCCCCTACTTAATTGCCTCTTCTCAAAATTGACAGGTCTAATCACTGTCGAGGTTTGGTATTAACACTTTCGTTTGTGGTATCTATAAGGCTGTTTTACTTAACGATTAAAGCATTCCTGTTTCCTCCGAGTCCTAGGCAAAGTGATTTCACAAAAAAAAAAAAAAAAAAAAAATCAAGCTGTTTGTATCTAACACACATCCATCAAAGAGGTGAAATGGCCACAGAGTTTATTGTTGGTATCGAAGACACGTGAACTGCATCACTGACTGTGAGGTAATCTGAGCGCCTGATGGCTTAACATTCTTACTCTTGAAGGCTACACTAATCATTTGCTTTGCATTCCCTCTGTTGCAGTCTGTGCAGTAGCAGGTTGAGACTCGGGACCAAGACGTCAGCTGCTACATGTGGGGTACAACCTGACCATGCGGTTGTAGGTGCCCACAGGGACCTCAGGTGACACACCATTTTACTTCGGCAGACTTTTTGGCGTTTGTGAATGTTGAGGAGAATTTGGTACTCGGAGTTTATTCATCCGCTCAAATAATGGATGGAACGCTAGCTTGCTTTCCTGCAAGCGATATGACCATCTGGGTGGTGGCAATCAGTTCATCGAACAACGTTTCATCGACACACGATGTTCCATCGACAAATAGTTTCATAGACAGCTCAGATTAGCTTTTTTGTGTAATAAGTTGCATGAGACTGATGCCGCGAAGAGGCATGTACAGGTCGGTCAGGTGGGTTAACATTTTTGTAATGAGCCGCTGCAGACTGTCGTCGCGAAGCGGCATGAACGCAGGCAGGCGAGTGGGTCAGCGCTCACCCCAGTGATACACGCGTGACGAAATGTCCCTACAGCATGCAATACGCATAACTAGTGTCGACGAAACGTTTGTCGACAAAATGTGTGCATGGAACGTGTCCATGAAAAGTTGTCCACGAAACGTAATTCCACGAAACAAGTTTCGACAAAACGATAGGGATTCCTTAGGGTGCCTCTAAGATTCCTATATCTCACAACCGCCTTTTGAGAACAGTGAAACCCCCTGAAGCTCTTGATATAATGTCAATCCACCTGGCTTTCCCTCAATGCCTCCTGACATGCCACATTTGAAGTTCACAGCTTATACAGGCTTTTTCGAGCTTCACTTGCACTGGGCCAAAACAGTTCCTGTCAGATAATTAGGGTAGTGCAGTCATTCTGTCGGCAGGGTGATGTGCCTCCCGCCAACAAAGCAGGTGGTATGCAAGTTCAAACATGCAAGTCAACCTAAGATGCACTCCACATTTTCTGCTTATTTCCATTATTGCTTCCTCATTATCCTCTACCATTTAAACTATTGCCCTGCACTTTACATCCTATGCAATAATATGCCCATAGTAGTGAGTGCAGATTTTTTCTGCTTATTTCTGCCGTTGCTTTCTCATCCTGTACTGTTATAACTATAGACCTGTTGCCGTGCATGCAGCGCCACGACGGCAGGGCATTTTGGAAACCCAAGGTACAGATAACGTGCTTTCTTGTTCCGCCTCCGTGATTCCGCGGCAGCTACCGCCTTCAGTTGTCGCTGCCACCCGCCGGAATGTCATACGTCGTTGGCAGCATACCATATCTGTGCTACCTGCGGTATATGTAATGCGTTGTAACTTACCTTCACGTCTTGCAGGGTCACCAAATCCACTTTGTGTAATATGATGTGGAGACTATGCTTGTTCAGTAGTTATTTTGCACTGCAACTGTGGCAGGGTTCAACAAAGCGTTGGTGTAGCAGACGACAGCGACAATGCAAAGGGGAAGGCTGAGAAAGGGCCAGCCTTGCCGGCCAGCCAATGCGATTCCCCCTCCCTCATTTGCATGCGCTCGCTCGGCTTGCCTGCTCGAGCGGTTTGCCTCGGTTATCTGCACCCGCTTGCACATGTCGTGTAGGGTTCGAAGTTTTTGGTTTAAACCGATGAAAAAACGCTGAATTCATTTTCGGAAATTCGGTTTTAACCGGAAAAGGTTAGTTTGTAGGTTCGGCGTTTTCGGTTTTAACCGAAAAAGTTTAGTTTGTAGGTTCGACGTTTTCGGTTTAAACCGATAAAAGCCGCTAAAAGTATGTCTAATTTGTTTTCTAAAATTTGGTTTTAACCGAAAAAGTTTAGTTTTTTAGGGCCACGTCGAGGTGGGTGGGGGAGGGGCGGGGTAGAGAGAGAGTGCTTTGCAAGGTTCGACATTGTGTGACGCCTTCGTAACTGTCCTCATTTAAGGTTCCACATGCAACAAAAGAGGTCTTGGATTGGTGTTTGCGGGACATCTGTGTCCTTTCTGGGATGGGGCCTAATGTGTCAAGTTCCCGGTCCTAAAAAAAAAGTTCGGATGTGGGCTAGTACAAGGTTTTTCGCTTCATGCACTTCAGAGGACATTGAGGAAAGCCATTAATACCTCTCAAACTTCCCTGTGGTTGAGAGCATAAATACAATGGATTCTTTTTTTGCCATTCCGCTGGGAGGAAATATAATGGGAGGAGCATACCAGGGACGCCCATAATTCGTCCCACAACACGTGCGGGCTTTTCGGATTTTTGAAAAAGGTCCATTGCCCTGCATTTTGCATCATATGCAATAATGTGCCTATAGTTTGAGTGAAAATTTTTTCTGCTGTTGCTTCATCATTGTCCTGTACTATTCTACTGTTGCCCTGCATTTGCCAAGTTATGCCAAAACAGACTATGGAAACCACATATCCGCAAATTTAATTGCCACTGGTATAATTAGAACTGCTTTTCATTTAATTTCATTTATTCATATCTCAAAGGCACTTCTCCTGAAGTGCATTACCTTCCACTTTCTGACAGTGTTAAAATTGACTGCTTTAATCAGTTTTGTCTTGATATTGATGTTCTCGTTTGTAGTATACCTCATAAGACTGCTGTATACCCTTCTGTTGAGAAGGGTCTAAAGTACAGAAAGTTGTTCCCGAGTTGGACATATGCTATGTTCCAATGCTCTGGACAAAGTCAGTACCAAGTTTGGCAACTTCATTGGCAAGTCATTGTTCAATTTCTTTCTACAGGGGTCTCTGGAAGGGCTTGGGTTGGCTGGAAATGAAGTATTTAAAGGCTACGACAGTTCCCCAAGAAATACAGGCATGGTTTCAGGTGAGCTTTGGGTTCTGTGTTTGTGTTTATTGAGCTTTACATTCTAGCACCTTTGTCAATATTGTTGTGGTAGCAAACCAGCAAACCAGTGTTGTGTTGTAAGCATATCTGGAAGTCCTCGGGCTTATCTCTCGATTGTCTCATGAACCTAAACAGATTACAATTTTACAGCAGGTTATTTTACAGTAAACATTGTTACAGTAAACAATTTTACAGAAAAGAGGCTTATGCAAAGAATGCCTTGGCAGTGTATGTACACTGGTCGGTTAGTTGAGAAAAGAGGAGGTAGCTCTGGTTAGGTAATTCACTTTAGTGCTGCAGCTCTAAGATGAGGGCTCATTGTTGCGATCACTGATCAAAACGACAGTTGAATTCATACTATCTCTCAGTACCAAGTTTTCTGTATCTACTGCCATTTGGGCTAGTTACAGTTTGCCCGACATCAGAGTAGTGGTTGTTGAGAAGACTGAGTTTAGGTCTGTGTTTGTGCAGGGGGAACTGGAAGGCAGGGGCATTGACATAGTGTATTGCCACACGGTGATGAGCCTTCTACTGGATCCTGACAAGGTGTGTTTCATTTCATTTTCACCTTTCGTAGAGGTTGCCAGGAACTGTATCTCACCTGACAATAACTTGCAGGAACCGGGAAATCGTGGGGCAGCTGT